CGACGCTGAGTGTCATAGTTTCGCCTCCCCCTAGGGATCTGGTCCGTGGGGACCGTGAAACGTGAAACTCAGCGTGTACTTATAAACTTCCGCGCCGTACATCGTACGACGTAGGTTACGTGGTCATTATGAAGGAAAGTTTACGAGGGGATATCTTGTTTCTGAATGAACGGAATAGAGAACGAGTATCATATTTGGAAAGAGCTCGAAAAACTGAATCGGAGGAGGGTAAATCATAAGTATGTACGAGTGCAGAAGTGGAGAGTACATAATTATCAAAGGAGGTCACACAATTGAGTTTTTCCAGGATGTGAATGGAAGATCTCATGACGAAAACAAAAAACAAAAAAACACAGAGAAGATCAAGATCTTACGGAGTTATGCCTTCTTCGAGCTAGAAGTGATGAAGTAGGTGTAAACAGTGAAAAAATCTAGTGAAAACGCTCGCATAACTACATCGCACAGAGGGGCTATTGAAACAAAGGTTCTCTGACAACAATCTGAAAATAAAAATAAAGAAAACCTCGAGAGAACCTAATTGTAGAGTCGAGACAGTGAGTAAGGCTCGTTCTCAATTTATGATAGATAGACGGAGTTTTGGATTTCACCATCGGAAGAGATCAGGATCGATCAATCAATTTTTGAAATTTATTACAAGATGAAGTAAAAACAATGAAACATGAGACAACAATAATCTAATCTAATTACTCTATATGAATCTACTGAGACTTCTCTTGATTCTCGGAATCTTTATTCTGCTTGGCTTCCTGTCGCATAAGCTCTTCATCAATTCTCTCCTTCGCACGATAAACCTAAGCATGGATTAGTGAAACAACAGGAATACGAAAAGTACCTTTGATTGGAGATACAGTGTTCCACCATTAGCTTTATCATTCGCGTGGAATAAGTGTTCATAGTTTTTGGTAACCTCTTCTGCATTCAGAGGTGCTTTGATATTCAAAATTTGTAAAGATTCCTGAAAAAACCGTAGAAAGCGTTACTAAAGTTCGTCATCAACCTCTAATGTAATTCCGAGTTTGGCATTACTTGTAGCATTATCTCTCGCTTCACTCCCAGATTGTCCTGTACTAGTAGCAACTCTTTCAGCAGCATGCTGACTCTCTGCATTATCAATGTGAAGTTACTTCGTGTTAGAACTTACGTCGAATTTCCTCTTTTACCGCTCTTCCTAGAGCTTTACCAAAAGCTTCTCCAACTGCTAACACGACCTGTAATCAAGGTTACTTTACTGATTTCTCAAACATCCGCCAACCTTGATGGCATGCTTCAAAGGCATCTTCTCCTTATATATTTACTGAAACGAACTGTTACAAGAGACACAAGCAACATAGTAGATATTCAGATATGGACAAGCCATTTAGAAATCAGAAAACATTCAAAGATTGTCTTTATTTACAGAATAGGTAAAGCTCTGCACTACTATCTCTACAAGCGGTAGGTTTCACCGTCTTCACTGTTTTGAATCTCTCCGACAGCTTATCTACAAATTGTTTTCTGTAAGGTCCGTCCCAGACCTTGCAAACGTAAACTCCATCCTTGGCAAGCGTGAAGACGGGATCATCAATGGAATGAAATAAGGAAAAAACCATTTCGCATAGCTTTATTAAGCGCATGTGATCAGTCAATGAATCCCCTACAACCTTCAATAAGAAGGGAAGCAATTGGTTCAACAAACCTGTTGGGTTCGGAGCCATGTCACTGAGTACGACAGACACAGTTCGATCCTTCAAACGATTTTTGATTTCTTTCTGTACTCCTGGGTGTGTCACATCACTTAAAACCATAATATCTGCTCCCGAGATAGGTAAGACAACCTGCAACGAGCTTTGCACTTTCGAAGGCTCTTGAGCAAACCAACTTGTATATCGAGGCCTAGAACATAAGAACTCGAATTAGGAGCATTGCTTTGACATCTTTCTACAGCTACTTGCGACCAACTTCCGGGAGCACATCCGACGTCAAGAACACAGGCTCCTGGTTTGAGGAACTTGAATCGATCATCCAACTCAATCAATTTGAAAGCACTCCGCGCACGATACGAATGTTCCCGAGCTTTCGACGTGTATGGATCTTTCATTTGTTTCTGCAAATATCTAGACAATCTATGAAGAGTACAATCAAGAATGCACCTCTCAACATGCCGTCGATTCGATGAGAATCCTCTTACAAAGACGTGCCAAGTCCTGAATGAATTCATATTCCTATAAATCAGGTGATTAAATGGGAAACCACAGAGCAAAGAAGTATAATGCGAACATAACGTGTGTGAGATGTTGTAAAAGGGTTTATAAAAATCTGTATTGATATGTTAGAAACTTTGACAAGAGGGTTGCAATTAATATCACGTTGTACTTAATACTCTGGAGGTTCTAAACACTTGTTAACTGCTTTCATTAGTTCAGGGTTCTCCATTGCAGCCGCTACTCTTTCCTGAAAAGCTGATCAGAACAACGTTTGCTCACAAGACCCACTTTATCTCTCAACTGTCTATTTATAGCTTCTTCCGTATTATGAGAACCAGGTGTGATAGAGACAATAATCTGAAAACCTAGGTGAGCCATTAACTGAAAGAACAGTGATACCTTCACAGAGGAATGTAAAGTGCGAGATAGTAGAACACGAATGGCTAATCCTATGAGGGTAGCCATGGAACAATGTGGAATAGTTGGTGTGAACTTCACCTGAAAGTATCAAATTAGAAAAATGGAGATTCGCAGAGAAACTACATCAACTAATGTAAATCTTGGCTCATGTTTCACATTAATCAGTTCCTTCTGAACAACATTTAGTTGTTCCAGAGTGTAAGGATGTTCTGGATCATTTATGTCACGAATCAAATCGAAAACCTCCAAGGAGTCGAGTAAATCCTCGTGAGACTCATCCCTGATGTAAGTAAGAAGGTATGCTTATCTGTTCGAATCTTCTTACATTTCTTTATCTTTGTCAGAGCGTTCATTTGCAGCTCGTTCGTAAACTGTAGGAGCAATATTATCCAATCGATCAGATCCCATCTGAAACACTTGAAGAAACATCAAAGAGCAGGAGGAAAATAATCGTGAGCAGAAACTCGAGGATCGAACAAGGCTTGGACAGTACCTCAGTGCATAACAGTTTATAGTAACAGAACAATATAACAACAAAACAACTTAGTTGTTCCCAACAAATATAACATCCCTGAAGGTTCCTTTCTCAAATATATTTTCTGATGTCGTAGTTACTTCACCGGCCTTAGGTTCTCTTACTTTCTCATACGTCAACAGCCGCCTTGAATATTGAGAATTTTAAAAATCAATGCAAATGGTAAACCTGCTGGTCTTCCGAGTTAGACGTTGTTCACAATTTTCAACCAGAATCATTGCTGGGTGATAAGGCAAGCAGTCCGTTGAATAACTTGAAGAAAATAGAATCACTATCACAAGTAATCAGCCTTAATACCTTTCTAAAATCACAGGAAACCAGAACGAGACTCTTGCTCCTATCCGAAGAACAGAAGCGCTGATATCACATAAATCGGTGAATGTAGCCTCTAATGAGTACTTCTGTTTTTCCGGGAAACTAACAGCGCTGAAACAGAGAACTCATTGTTCGAATCAGGATCAAAGCTTTACTGTTCGGAGCCAGGTAACGTCCAGTGTTCTTTCCTTTCCTTCTTTCCTATTTTTCTGCCTTTCTCCCTGACTCCATAAGGAGCTAGAAAATATAATTAGAGAGAAATGAAGAACGTCATCTTACGATCTGAAACGATGCCATCAAGCATAGGAGAATCTCTCCATACACCGTGTTGACTAGCATCAGCTATTATAATACTCATGAGCTTATCCGACATTCCATATTGTTGAAAATTGGCGGCGATACTTTCCTTTTCAGTTAAGAACTTAACTCCTTGCCTGGAAGATTTTCCTGAATATCATATATTCATGCTTGGAGCTTTGATCTTCATTACCTAATCCTTTAGCTATTTGGTAGTTTATTTCTGTACCAAACACTGATGCGCCGAATTTAGCAGCAGAGAGAATAAGACCACCTGTACCCACGAAAGGATCTAGCACGAGATCTCCGTTCTTCACACCAGTGATGTTAGCCTAAATGAAGTCATAGTTTATGTTAGTTGCGTAGCCTCAATCAGGAAAATCATTTCACAAAAAATTTTCTTACAGAGCGGTCGCATTCGTTTCAGGCCAACGAACGACAGGTACAATGACTTTGACTTCACTTACCTGAATGAACGATAATTCTGGATCCATTGTGGTATTGCCGATGTAACAGCGATCTCTCAAATTGAAATCAGACTTGAGTCTGTACTGTCCATGACCTATCTGGGATAACATCGTTTTATTTATCTTTAACTAAAAAATACCAGTTTATTAAAGAAAATTCGACGAGGAGCTTTACTTTTCTCATTTTCGTAATCCTCAAGCAGTACGAAAGCATTGTCAGGCTCATTCAATGATACAGGCGCTAATTCTAAATTTATACATTCGCAAACTTTCTGAAAAGAGAGAGTGATTCAGATAAGTTCAGCATACTTCACCTCAACGGCAGGAAGAGTTTCCAATCCTCTTTTCCTTCCAACTGGCCTAACCTTCATCGAGAACGACTGATCGGCCGTATCATACTTCTGAGAATAACACCGATTCAGATTTTGTGAAACGATTCTTAATACCTTGAATATGGGCTTATTAGCTTCCAAGACTCTCAAGAGATCATCATAACTCTCCTCGACATAGAAGAACTCATATGCTGATTTCAAAAGCATAGAGCGAGATAGAAGTTTGTGAATAGTAGTTACATCATCTATGTCGATCACAAAGATATGATTCTGAAGATGACAATAGGTTTGGAACAAGGAAAAGTAACCAACCTCCACATCGATTTGATCGATGGGGAATTCTAAATTCAGGGCCTTAATGATCCCCTTTAACTCAGCGATTCGGAAATCCAAAAAAACTTGAGAAAATAACAAAACTACTTTCATTTATCTAAAGAAACTGTGAGTGAGGAACAATGCTCATACTTCAAAATATAAAACATGACTGAACAGAGAGATAGAGAAACAAAGGTGTATCTGATCTTTATTTTAAATACTCTGCTACACTAACAACGAAAACGCAAAAATCTACTTCAGAGCAGCTTGAAGACCGAATCCTGGTCCTGTGGGTTTCTCCTTCAAACAATCAAAAATAAAAGCTTCAACTGGAGGCAACTTACGGTAAGAGAGGTGAGGTTTCCAATTGGTTCAGCAGCTAAACGTCCGGAGCGTGGACCAGGAGTTGGTCGCTTTCCGGCCTGTGTTGGATGTAAGTAAGAACGATTCATTTGGGGAAAACATACCTTAAGGTCATCTAAGATTTCGTGAACATCCTTAACTGTAAGATCCTCATAATAATCATCGTTAATCTGAACAAATCAATATGCTGAAGGAAAACGATATCGCCCCACCTGAACCATTGGAGCATTTACACAAGCACCAAGACACTCAACTTCGGCAAGGGTGAACAAACCGTCTTTGGTGGTATCTCCGCAATGGATACCTAAATTGATCATTCACCAAGTGAATCATATAATCTCTTTCAAACCTAATTTATCCTCAATAGTCTTAGTGACGGTTTCAGCTCCACGAAGCATGCATGGAGTTGTGGCACAGACCTACAACTATAGCATAATGGGGCCAGAATCTTACACTAACCTGAAGGAAATACTTTCCTGTTGGCTGTCTGTTGTACATGGTGTAGAAGGTAGCAACTTCGTAAGCTCTCATACGAGGAATTTCTGAAAATAATAGATACCACAACGTTTTGTATTTACAACACTCACCCAAAATTCTGGCTACTTCGTGCATGGCAGAAATGGGCAACCATCCATGCTGACGTTGAGCCAAATCTAACATGGGTAACAAAGCTCCTGCCTTGAAAAAAAAGAGATAAAAGTTCAATTTGGATCACTAACCTTGTGTCCTTCGGGGTAGTTGGCCATCAAAGCGTCAACTCTCTTGATGTTTTCTTCGGTGAATTGAAATTTAACTTTCAAGTTGTTGGCATCAGTGTCGCGATGAACCATAAGACCCGTAGCTTAATAATTTCCAATTATATTGAATAATTAAGGTTTCTTCTCACCTCCCCATCTTTTCTGGACAATTCTACCTAAGTTAGAGGAAGCAGAAAGAACAGACTTCATCTGAAACAATCATTTTCTGGGTATCATTTAGGCAACATCAAGAAATAAGGAAACAATTAAAGAAGACTCAAAGAAGGTTGGTGTTCATGGTTTAGAAGCTGAAGGACTGAACAACTATATTGTTATTGAATGAGGAACTTCATCTTATATTATCAAAATTACATTAAAGCAACTTTGATTAAAATGACATATTAAGTGCAACTTCGCGTGTAAATGGTTGTGTAGTTTACAAGCCATGGGAAAGTAACCATCTCTTACGTACCAGACACACTACTCTTTCAATTTAACAGTTTATTAAAAGGAAGTAAAAAATAAAAAAAAGCTTGAAGCTAACTAACAGAACAGAAAATTCACAAAATTCTAAAACTATTATAAACACCGAAATAAGAATTTGTTGATATAAAATATTCACAGTGACATAAAAGCGTCTATAAAAAGTATAAGTATTTGTTAAGATCAGGATGTGCTTGTCTATGAAGGGATTGGGCTACGAAGAAGGCGAGCTTATGAGCATACTGACACAGTGCAGGCACTCTAACAGTGCCTTGCCAATTGTAATACATATGACAAAGTTTGTACGAAAGCTGAAATAGTTGTTATGAAGATGTAGCTGTATGAGGCTCACCAGTTCGTGCTTATCAATTGACAATCCTGTTGTATCGTAGAGAATATTATAATACACGGGTGTGACAGTTCCCTGGTTCACAAACTGTGGTACAAGGAAGAAGTCACGACGATCAGGTCTCGTTACGAGAGCGTCAACCACAGTTCCAGGCTCCGGATTGTAGAACTTATATACGTCGTTGCCCACTTTGTAGAATCTCATGTTGACCTTTTTTGTTACAATATAGAATGCAAGTCTTATATGATCTTCAGGATATCCCACACTGGAGCAAATTTTTCTCAATTCTTCCACAACAGCATCAACCTGAAACGAGCTTGTCTGACCTAGCTAAGAAACCTACGGAACCTCCTCTCTTTTCACTAACGGAACCTGTCCGTCTCCTACACCGTCTCTGTACAGGAATAAACGAGAAGGTAAACACCCATCGTTATTCTGGTAGTAAGCTTGAAGAGATCCTAGAACACAATAGTTATTCAGATTTGGAGAAGATGAATCACTCACTTCGAACGAAGACTATCAAGTTATGACCTAGTTGTGCGAAGTTCTCATGAGGTGCAGTTTGAGAATAAAACTGTGTGAATTCGTTATCAGTAGTTGATACACAAGCGCCGATGGTTTTTCCTCTTAGAGAAGAGTCATGATAAAGATCATATCCAATCAAAATCGAGTCTTTGAGCTGGAATAATGTTGAATTCAGACGATGAAGTAAGATAGCGAAAGGGAGGCAACTCACAGGAATTCTGACTTTCCAAAGAGCTCCACCAACTTTGCACATGATTTGCTGGAAGATTTTCAGAACAATAGATGAGAAATTTTTGTTTTCTCCTCCTTCGTTAGGTTTTCCGGAGAGGGTGTTCAGAAGAACGAATTGAGAAGGAACTGTATTAGACTTTGTAAAGAAAACTGCTGACTCTACGTACCTGCATTTTGAACGCTCAGATATTTCTTTACAGTGTCATAAGTAGTTTTAGCTTCATTGGTGAGGAAAATTACCATCACTTGCATATCTCTACCATCAGGGCCACACTGTAATAGAATGAACAACTCGGATGTATCACATTACATACCATTTCTATGATTTCCTCAATCGCACTGAGATAACTATTAGGGGTGACTCCTTTGACTGGTATACAAAGTGGATAGCGAACCGCTATTCCCATTTCACGTGCCATTCTTTGCACATGATCTGATGAAAGAGTTTATACATATAAATGAAATGAGTTGTACCAATGAATCTATTGACAAGTTCGACCTTATCTGAGGTTTCTGGACAAACTACTGCCCAGTTACGCAAGTCAACTGATCTTAGCAGTCCTTCGCGTTTCATTCTTCTAGACCATTCAACACTTTCATCAGTCATTCCACTCCGACTAGCTGTTACGATCTAAGTTACCTTCAATGAGTTAACTTAACAGAAAAACAAACTCACATATTCCGGGGGCAGTACTCTGGCGGAAAGCTTAACCAAATGGTCACTTAATTGAATCTTCCACTTGCTTAATAAGTTGCAGCATTTCTCATTTTTCTTGATGGTTCGAACAAGTTGTAAAGCAAGTTTGACTCTTGCAGACGGATCCAGCCGCATGTGTACGGCAAGAGCTCTCATGATTCGACGATCTTTCAGCATTTCATCTGTTATTCCTGTAGGCTGGCAGAGCTCCGGGACAAGGAAGATCTTCTGTTTTTCATTACAGTTGGGCTGCATTTTAGTTTCACAAGTCTTCAACAGATTTTCATGAAAAGAAAAAAAGAGCGACTCACGATGATTGGTTGACTCATGTCAGTTATTTTACGACCATATTGCTGCTCATAATAATCAACCAGAGAAAGCGATTGGCCATCGGCCATAACGAACCGCGTTGTCGGGTTCAAATCCCACTCTATGGTTGATATTCTTTTCATCCTGTTATTATAACTGAAAGAAAACAGCTTAAGTTTTATATTTCAGGCTTTCTCTTTACTAGGTGACCAGAGTTTGACCCTCGAATTTCTCTTCGCATTTCATCTGGTATTGTTGTTTATTGTTACAAGTGAGTTTCTCTTCATTCAGCTGGAAAGAGAGAAAGCTTTTTGATAATCCTTCGAGGCTTACTATATCTAAAAACGTTTTGGTACGAAGGACCTTGAATCTGTTTTCAATACACAACATCAGATCGTTTTCATATTGTTTAATTGCAGTTTCATAGCCGGACCATACTTCCAAATCGTAGTTTGTAACTTTCGTCGCTTGAGCTGGGTTATAGAAATGTCTGCAGAGTTGCTTGAAGCCTACTAACTCGAGACATCTGTATGAAGTAAAGGTTCACAAGAGTTCTTTTAATATCACCTTCGTAAAATTATATTATAGCAGGTAATAGCTTGGGGAGCATTTCTTTCGAACATGACATTGGGCTTGATTCGGACTGATATTCTTTGCTTTGATTCTGGATGATGAGCGTCCACAACGACCTGAGCTCAAGCTCTCAATAATGCACAAGAAGCATCTCTCACCTCTCGTGGATTACATTTGGGGAGATACAAAATCATCCCATCAAAAATAAAATCCTCTTCGATGATATCGTGGAAGACTTCTTGTCGGAGGATTGCCATGCGAAACTTCTTGCTGTCTACCTCTGGATGATAACTAATATGATACTGATATATTAGTTCAGAGGCATTTCCGGTATTTTGCAAAGGAACGAAGTTCGCCAGGCAATTAACTTCCCGCCCTAGTATTCCTGAACAAGAAGTGTGATGATACAATTTCAAAAATTACCTTTTGGTGATATGGTCTCGCATGTGTTGTTGTTGACATCGCACTTGTTATAGTAGATATCCGAAGAACTCATTATTCGCAAACAAGTGCATCCAAACTGTCTAAAAAGAAATTAGAAAATATAAGATTTATAAGCATCTATTAAAAACATATATATATTCGTTTAAAATTTAGGTACTTCATTTCCATGCACCGTATTCCTAGAACTGCACATCAGGCAACGTGGAGCTGAGTTCACGTGAATATACGCCAGCTCGGGAACTAGGTTGAAGGGTACATGGAATAGACCAGAACATAACTGATTTAAACTGATCAACGCCAGATGTTTGATATAAATTAATATCAATTAACTTTCTTCCGGCTTTGCAATAGTGAAGTACGTCATACTCGCATCTGTAACATCATCTGTGCGACAGAGCACTGTTGCGTTGCGATTTCGTTGATAAACTGTGATGATGAAATCTCCCCCAAATCATAAGCTCTGCATTCTAATCTACATGTTTCAACAGATAAAACAGAACTTCAGCTCATTCCAAGGTATGAAGGCTATTTGAATAATCGATGAAATACCTTGTAAACTGTAGTATTAATCTACGTTGTTTACAATTTTCAAACGAAATTATTGCTGCACGACGGGCCAAGTTGTCCGTTGACTGTTCCAGTACGGGAACACAGTGTACTAAAGAAAAAAAAAATGAAACTCTCCTCCTCTTCCAATTCTACAGCTCATGCGTGTTTTGAAAAATTCTTTTCTCCCACTCATCATGATTACCATCATTTTGGTGGCTTCTTACATATTTCGAAAGTCTTGTAAACATGGTGATACAAATTCCAATCAATTTCGGATTCAACAGAAGTTAGGTTGTCCTGTTTGACCGAACATTCAACACAGAGCTCGAAAAACTAGAACTCTGGACTATTTGCCTCCAACGAATAATTACAAGTGTTAAGACGAAGAATAGCGCTTACGGAAGTCCACCTGTTAAGACCTATTGAGAACACTACTAACCATTATTCTGCATAAATACTCATATGGTACAAACTTGCACACTAAAGTGCTCGAGCAGTCGCAAAGAATAAGAACTTGTCATCTAGTCACTAGCGAGCTCATAGTAATGCTATTGATATACGGTTACTACCGGTTACAATGAAATCTGAACTGCAGGACTGAAACGATATCAATAGATTCCAGTAGAATAAAGTAAAAGTAAAACTGTTTATTTTCCAAATATATCCAAAAACACTATCAAATCCGCAGCCATGGCAAAGTCTTCCTCTCGCTGAACTGATAACTGCGCCGTATGTAGTACGAGAAGTTTACTGTTACAGATTGTTGACTAACATATGAATGTAACACATTGCAAATACATAAGACATAAAATTATTCATTGAGTACTACTATCTATCCAATTAGAACAGGTTCAAACACTGTCACAACTGTTCCGAATGACTGAAGATTACAGCGAAAACTTGAAACTTGGATTGTTGCAGTGTACAATGTAAATCTGAAAGGTTGACTCCAGGTTCCATCAGTATCACAGAAAACATCAGTAGTGTCCATGGGTGTCGGTGAAGGCTCGTGCAAATACAGTTGATTAATCTATTCAATTACCAATACTATGATAACAGGCTTAATCACCATACCTCAATAACCATAAATCCAACATCGGTACTTCGAGCAGGATTGCAGATTAGCGTCATAACGCTACAATTGTTAGCGTCAAGTCGAATAGGACTGCAATAGGAATTCTAATACTTGCGAAGAAGCAAGCTTTGAAGAGAATCAACCTCTTTGAGGCAACCGTTGAAACAGAAAGCGAGCCCGTGTCAATCGTGATGTCTTCACTTTTGCATCGTCTACACCCTTAGAAAGAAAAGTTTCGTTAAGAATTTGGAACTAACTTGAGGGTTCAACAGTTGTAGCTGAAATTCAGAAATTAACAAACTTAAGTGGGAGAGAAAGAACCTCTGAGTCTGTTGGCATTACGTACTGCTGGTGCTGCCAGAGAAGACGAAACGACGCTATCTGAAACAGTTGTCTAGCTGCGACGAACAAATCTAAAACAGGCGAACCGTGTAAGCCGGGGTTGGTGGGAACACAGGCAGAAACAGTTTCGAGCAAAGACAAGAGGATAGTAACGGCGAAAAGCATCTATGGTAGTAATGGATATTCATATGACATTTATAATTCTCAGAGTAGGTCAAATGAAATTCAATTAGCGTGAAATGGGTCGATGTCGAGTAACTTATAATCTGCTTCTCTTCAGCTAATATGCTAACAGATAGCTACCTGCGGGTACTTTCATCTTTCATTCTCTCTCTCTGTCTTCTTACACTATCGATTCATGCCTCTCTCATTCCCTTGTAATGAAGAACCAATGTCTGTTGATCGGCCGTTCCCACTCCTGGAAGACTGGGCAGACTTCAATTCTGGGGAAAATGGATACAATCTGTTGAAAACTGTCCTTCATATGGAGAGTAGATGGAGACTATCAGTTGAATATGCTTCAAAAGAGAAACGCTCGATTGTTTACGAATATTCCTGGAACTGAAAAGAAGAGAGAGGAAGAAAGATAATAACATAGAGAGAGAGAGAGAGTGAGAAGACTTCTGAGAAGTTTTCTTGGTGTACTCGAATATTTCATGTAAAATACACATTCGATCTTGTTACCTCTCGGGCTGTGCCCACCCATTCCTTTTCTGAATATTAATTTCATTTTCTTGCATTTCATAATTAAAATCTTCCCAAAATACTTGACTCTCTCAAGTTTTGCAATCATTTCATTCATTTTCTGTTATTTTTCAGCTTCGTTCACACTTTGTTTAATAGAATATTCAGAAGCATTTTTTCTTTTTTTTTTGTTCCAGAAGGTTTCTTCAGAATTCCAACATACATTGATTCGGTCTGACAAACAGCCGAAAGAGCAGAAGAGCTATCCAAAATAGCAAAAGATGATTTTCTTGTGTGCGAAAAAGGAGGCAAAGACCTTCCTTGTATGAAGACGAGTCATATCGTCCCAGCCACTCTTTCTCTTCTTTTTTTTTCTCTCTCTCTCTGTGCTGCTCTTCTCTTATGCTCGTCTGCTCACTTCACTCTCCAACCAGCAAGCACATTGATGATGACGAAGAGTTATTTCAATTTGCTTTTTATAGAAAACAAAAACGTTACCTTCTCCTCGCTTTTGTCTTTTTTTAAAACTTCAAATGGTAATTTATTTTAATGGGCTTGTTGACAATTAATTCCTTTTATGTGTCTCAAACAACATTTTATACTTCGTTTAGATGAATGTGCCGTTTCGAATTGAAACTTTTCATTCGTCAAACTCCTTTTTCGAATCTTTTTGGCCAAAGAAAGTTCGCCAGAGAGAGAGAGAGAGAGAGAGAGAGAGAGAGAGAGAGAGTTAGAGAGAGAGAGAGGGAAAGAGAGAGAGAAAGGCAGATAACAACATGTTCCTATCCTCCATTTGTCATGAATAATTGAACAAAAAAAGGAGAGAAAAAGATAAGTTGTGAGGGCGTCTTATGAAATCTAAGAAGCTTTGTTAGCGCCTGTCTGTTTATTAAGCATAAAGTGAAAATACATAGCTGTATGTATCTCATATCATATATGGTTCTCAGAACTACTCTTCTATTACAAGACAATACTTCTGTGTGCTGCTGCACATATCGCCAACCACGACGACAACCACGACGACAACCACCAATTCGTAGCTTCCACCGTCATGCATTCTATCTGCAATCGCTGCTTCGTTTCAGCTCACATCCAGATCCATGGCTTGTGTGATCGACGGTTCAAATTATTTCTTTAATTATTTGCTTCACATTTGGTGTTTTCCTTTGGCGACCCATTTACCCATTTCAGTTCGGAAATTATTTTTTCATCAAATTTTCTTTGTTCCAATAAAGAATAAAGAAAACAAATAAAAAATAAAAGTAAAATGCTGTCTTCGCTCATCTCCTCTTCCTCTTCCTCCTCCTCCCTCCCTCCTGCCGTCAACGGACTTACCTTAATGACACGTTACACGTAATTATCGTATTTATCTAATAAACTTTGTATATTTTTCTATTTTCAAAATATATTTTCAGTTTTGCCTTGCTGCTGCTCATTCCAATAAGACTTTGAAAGGTAGTTGGAAACACAGCAAAGAGACAATGGAAAGCAACCAGTCTGAAGTTATTTTTTCCGAAAAGTGAGTTTGGTTTTCACGTCAAAATCACGTGTAATATAAGTGAGCGTACTTATGCTAATGAATTCACACAGTATTTTAAAGAAAAAAAAAGAATTCAAACGAATATTGTTTTGCTCATTTTCAATTAAAGTTTTCATTGAAATTGTTGTTTCTATGCTCATGAACTTGCTCAGCATAGATCGTATGAGGTGTAAGATGAATAGCTTTCATCTGTCATTTAGCTTCTTCTTTGCAATTTACGAAATGCTACTATTCTATTGCAGAGCGCCAGTTCAGCCGCTTAAGAAGTTGGTCGGTCCTATCATAGATGGCTTAATAGAGCAAGTGGATATACTACGACGTCTATCAATTGGGTATGTTGAGCTATCACATTTGACCACTTAAATGGAACTGACAGATATGACGCAAATGTATTATTCACTTGCAACCATAAATACCTCGGCTCATGTATTTTTGACCTTGCGCATGATTGTCATAGAAGCCTTGTCTGCACCCATTCCCTTCATTCAACTTTTTGTCTTTCTCTCTCTTCATCTGTTTCTCTCTCTCTTCTCACTTCCACCCCTTCTCATTCTCGATATAAGAGCTGAATGTAGAAAAACAGAACATTGAAGTTCTGAAGACGATTCTAAAATAAGTTTCCATTCTCAGTTTTCATTTCAATTCTGATAGACTACCAAGACATCTGAATCGTTGGGTGTGTGTATGGTGGGCTCTCACGATATTCTCCAACAGCCTCTAAGTTTGTAATTTGGATTGAATTTGAATAACATATAAGTCATTAAATGATATTTATATGTTCATTATATATTCAAAACACTTTTTATAATCTGTCACTTTTTAAATTTTGAACGTTTCGATTGAGTGCCATTGAGCCCTCTTCAACCCTTTTTTGTTACTTTGAAACCAAATTTGCTTAGGGTACACACATGCACACACGCACACTCACACATACACACATACGAGATCGCTCGCCTTTTTTGGCCTCTCAAAACAATTCCAAAGAATAAAATGAAAAAAAATTCAATTGCGAGCATTTCGTGCAACATATCCAGAGGATATTGTTCTTCTGATTTCCTTCTTTCTCATTCTTACTCACATTTTGTTTCATCAGGTTGGATTCTGAACAGATTTCATGTGACTTATAAGACATGAATGTAGCAACTCTCTATCTCCTTCACTCCCTTTATCTCTCGCAATATTTCATTTCTTACCTCTCTCTCTGTCAGCACTAGTCATTATTCATTTCGTTCTCTTAATGAAAGAGATCCTCTTCTGGTATTCACCAGCAGTCTTCATCATATCCAAAAGCTTAGTATTCGCTCATCATCACATCCGTTTTCGCATCAAATTTCGAACGAAAAATTCATTTTTTCATCTCCCTCCTTATGTTTCTCTTTCTCTCTCTCCTTATGGTTTGTCTTTTGATTAAAAATGAATAATTCGGTCATTTGTAGTTGCAATAACTTGAAGACAAATTTCCGAAGACCAATGACACCCAGATTACCTCTCTTGGGATTTAGATTGAATTCTCATCGCCAATCTCACTCTTTCGCTTATCTCTCGTACTTCTACGAGTCTTTTTTTTTCTTTTCGAAAAAATCTCTGCTAAAGAATCTTTGGCAACAAGTGAGATTCTACAAAACTCCTCTTCAAACCAAACTTGGTATTCGTTGGCTAATTACCGTTTTTGAGCCAAAAAATAAGCTTTGAGATTATGTTGTTTGAGATGGTTGCATTGAAAGAAAGCATTTGTCATCGTCCAAGTATAATTCATCATGCAAACCAATCATTTATTATATTTTTTAAAGTTTTATTCAAAATTAAAATTTCATAGATGAATGTTTGAAGAGTAGAGTAGAAGGAGGATCCTCGCTCTCCTCTTTCGGTTGAACGAAAAGAGATATTCCTATTTCGCTCTGCTGGCCTTTAACGATCCATCATGATTCTTCGCTTAGGACAAAAGCGAAAAGTTTCAAACTTTTTTAAAATTCTGAACAATCAGGATGTTTAAAGTTCATTATTAATATATAAAGGCTTTAGCTTAGAGCATTTTCCTTGTTTTGCTCAAGTTTAAATCACATGGAATGTCCTTTGTCACTTGATTTTACCTTTCTTCCTGTTTCCATTTCTCTCTCTCTCTCTCTCTCTCTCTCTCTCTCTCTCTCTCTCTCTTACTCTCTCTATTACTATATCTATCTATATCTGCTTGTCATAATCTTTCTTCTCAAAGACAAGATGATTGTCCTCCAACATGAGCATGCATATGACGACTATCACTCATCTGAGCAGACCCGAGACCATCTATGTGAGCTCAAGAATGTCTCATAATTTGTTTTTTCGCCACTACCATAGATGTGTTTTTGACTTAAATTCTGGTTATTCTATCTTCCAGCCGTTTGCAGAAAAAAAAAACTGATTGGCAAGAAATGTTTGATAATAACATTCAAAATATCCTTTTTTTCCATTTTCATAACATCTTTTTGCCCCTTCTGTACCTCAAATATCCTTGTTAGACAGAGAGACAAGACGCATGAGTGAGAGAGACAATGCGTTGATCTGATTTTCTCATCAAAAAAGATAATTTGAGGGGGGAAAAACAGACAGTATGAAGGGATTCTATTGGCATAGTTGGGATTAGTGAATAAGTCGTTCAGACAATCTTCTCTGCATATCTTATGCTTACATCTATCTTTCTATGAGCTTTTCGAAAGAGCTTTTGTCTATCGATTCTCGTCTCACCTTCGATTTCTGAAAAAACATCAATCGTCTTCAAGTATTTGTAGTCTCCAATCACACGTTGGACAATAGCTCAGAAGAAGTGAGAAGGCTCTCTATCTCTCTCTCTGCGTGTGTTGGAAGACTTCCAATTCCTTTCTGTAATTATTCGAACATCTATTTTGACTGATAATATGCTGGATTGAAGACGTCAAAACAAAAAATTTGAAAATTTTGTTTCTTCTCCTTTCTAATCCTCATCAGTTGATCAGTTAAATGGATAGGTTAGATTTGGAGAATGTCCTTCCAACTAAACCAAATTATCCAACAATCATATTGGAAGAGCCAAGTTGCAGGTAGATAGATGAGAGTTGAGTAAAGAACATGTTGATTCGTTTTCAGAACAAGTCTATTATGTGCTTGGTATGATTTGGAGAAGTAAGTTGCTCTCGTCCTTTCATATCACCTACACATTCTCTCTCTTTCTCTTCTCGTTCCAAGCATTTCTTGAGAAACGAAAAAACTGTAAAAGTGGTTGGAGATTAACCATTCCAAGTCAATGATTTATAAATAATTTAATATTTGAACAGCCTTTTAAAGAATCACAAGTGAATATTCAATGTCTCATAATGTGTGAGATAGGAAGAGAGAGAGAGAGAGAAGGATAAAGAGAGTATGAGAGAGAAAGATAGAGAGAAAGGAAGAAGAAAAAACGACGAAACTTGTCTTAACTTCTCATAAGACAGCCAGTTAAGTTGTTTCGAACCTAATGTTCTCACATCATACTTCTATCCTTCTACGGATAGAGTACAATATGGAAATTAAAATTGAAACTTCATCGTATGCTCAATTAGCTCTTTGACATGTTAGATGTCAGCAAGACACATCAACACATCAACACATCAAACCTCCTTCTTTTTCTCTTTTTTTTTTCAACGTAAAACAAGGCAGATTTCCGCATCGGCCCATTCTTTGGAAACAATAAGCTTCCTACCTATGTGATAGACAATGCATTCCTTCATACTTCTTCTATCTCTCGATCTCTCTCTCTCCCTCTGTCTCGCTGCTCATGCGGTAACTTAGCCTCAACTTCATATTTGAAGTTTTTGAAATATACTCTCCAATCTCCCTCTCTCCCTCTATTCTTTTTGCAAACGTTTTTTTTTGTTTCGTCTCTTGCATATAGAAAACTTGTACTGTAAACCATCTTGCTCTCTATAGATTACCACAAGCATTCTCTCCTTCTGTTCAGCTCAGCTTCATTGTCCAATCTGCTTTTCGATATTCTCGTTCTGATTATTTCTTAAACGGAATTATAAATTGACTTTCCTGAGACATTTCTCTCCTCCTAATTGATATATGCAACATTACCTTTCTTATTCGTTTTGATATTTTCGTCTTTTTTAATATTTTTACTTTGAAGGTTGATCAACTTCTCTTCCTCTCCCCACTCACTCACTCACACTCACTTCCTCTCTGCAACAAACACCGCAGAAAAAGTTTTTTTCAAACGAAAAAAAAAAAGGAAAATCATTTTAATTTATGATAAAAAGAAAATAAAAGACATAAGTAAACAAAGGAATTTCCATAATGTCACTCTTCAATCGCATGTTTCAACGCAGTTTCCGCAGGTATGTTTATCACGAAATTCAGAAATCGAAATGGATAAAAACAAATTTTTTTGAATAAAAAATTCTTTCAAATTTCATTTACCATATATGGAATAGATGGATGATTATGAAAAGCAAAATTCTTTAAATTCATTTTCATTAACTAAATGGAGATCAAGCTTCACATTTGCATATGGCGTTGTTCATCTATCTCTCACTATCTATATCTCTCTTCCTCTCTCTCTCTCTCTACTTCATCTCGTTCGCTTTTCACGTGCGTGACGTGAGAGAGAGAGATAGCGTTGAATTCATTTTTTGAACGCAAACGTCCGAACTCGGTTGTGCATGTACAACGTCTAACTTCCTCTTCTTCCTGCTCCTGCTCATGTCTGATCTCATTCGCATCTTTCCGTTCCGAAGACGCATCGCCTTCTCCTTTCATCAACACAAACATCTCTAATTCATTAGTTTAAGCGGAAAAAATATAAAATTTTTCATAAAAAAAAGAAAAAAAGAAAGAAATTCAGAAATGAACTTGTCCTTTAAGCCTGCAAGAGCGAATGCTTCGACTTTGAAGAAAAAAAAAGATAATTTGCATCAAAAAATCATTAAAACAGCTCGTGCGGTACGACAAGTGCACATGCTTACATACGATTCATTGACGTTCTCTTTCAAGTATTTTCCTTCCAATCGAATAAAAATAGTTTCAATAACTTCATTCAAATGATTGTAATTTCCGTCTTTCGTGTCAAACTATTTTGGTTTTGGCTGTTGCTGTTGTTACTTCTGTAGAAGATGTAAGCTGGCCTGCTCTTCTCTTCTTCAGTATTCTTCTCCTCCTCCTCCTCCCTCTCCTCCTCTCCCTCTCTCTTCTGCTTTGAATAAAGTACAGAAATAGGAATTTACTGTTTCTTTTCACGGTTAATATCATCGATCTTTGGTATCTCTTTTATAACAGAATGATATGAGAATGAGCACCACAGAGCAGAAGGCGTGGCTTCTGCTGCCAGATTGAGCATCACGTTGCTGGTCTTCTCCCTTCTCTCTCTCTCATTCTTTCTCTCTCTCCCTTTTCTTATAATACCTATATACATCTATCTATATCTTTTTTCTCTCGCTCTCTTCCCCTCTCTCTCTAACTCTCTCTCTCTCCGTCTTGTTCTTTGGAAAAGCACGCTCAAAATTTCCCTTTATGTATCTACGTATCCCTTCTATTTCCTTCTTCCTCCTTTTTTCAGTTTCATCGCTCATTTCCATTCAATCAGTGCCTTAGCTCATGTGTAGCGTCAACCTAAAAGAGCTCTTAAGCTGATTACTGACATACTTGCGCTTCAAGCTCATCTACTGGAGCCATCTTATCTTTTTTCCCTTCTTTCTTCAATTTTACAGATCTTCAATCTCTTCCTGAACTCATTTGTCCATCTTTTCCGTTTCTAATATTCTCTTTATATTTCTATTTTGTGTTTCTTCAATCGAATGACGTCTAAATGAGACATCTTTGAACTTTCCTATCCTCTTGCTCTATCTCTCTCTCTCTCTCTCACTCTGGCTTACTCTCTAATCTCCCCAAACGTATTCATTAGATGGCACTTTTCATACCTTCAAGTCAAAAAATGTTCTGAAAACTTGTATAAACAGGGCATTCTTCAACTTTGAGTTCTTTGAGTCCACTTGAATACTCTGTCTCATATACATACTTCTTCTCTCGTAATATCATCTTATAAGGCAAATTCAATTCCACATATAGCTATCTATTCATTCTGACATAGAGAGCAAGCCGTCGACGTGTATATCCTTCTTCACCGACCATTTTTCTTCCATTTTCTTATTTTGTTCAGAAATTAAGATTGTTTCTTCATTCTAACACATTCAGCTCACTTTACCTGTCTCCTCCCCCCTTTTTTTCCATTTTTCATGAATTTTTTATATTTTTTTGGTAATTTTAAAACTCTTTACATCTGAAAATTAATTTCAACTCTCGCGCTCAATCTCTTCAGCTCATTCTCTCTCAGTCTCTTACTCTCTCTCTCTCTCATTCTCATTATCATCTCAGAAGAAAATTTTGCTCTTCTCTCAATCTGCTTTGATGGTAAAGCTATCAGATAATCCGCTATCAAGGCAGATGTCATAAAAAGATTTTCTAATTTTTGTTCTTTGTTTCCCTCTCTTATCTCCTGTTTTTCTATTTCTCTCTCTCTCTCCATATATAGCCCTAGTTTGATCTTATTCACTAGTTGTCTTAGATATGCGGCTTCCTCTCCATTCCCATCAAACGAATCCATAATGAACGATCATCAACTCTCTACTCATCAGTCTGAACAAAAAAAAAATTTCCGTTCATTTCTAGCTTCATCGACTCATTTTTGTTTTTCACCATCTCTCTTTCATCTCAATCAGGAATGATGTCCTCTACACCTCTCCCTTTCGTTGATCTCATCTTTCTCTTTCATTTCCAAAAACATTTAAATAATTTTGTGGTAGAATATAACAATGCGAGAGCCTGTTGTGCCGAAGATGCAGAGGTTTCTGCATCAACGTGTCACCCAGCTTCGTATTGTTCCTCCAGAATTGAAGCCACAGTCGAGAGATGATGATTCTCCACGTCCAAGAGTTAACAGGTAATAGACTTGGATATTATAAGATATTTGATAAAGAAAGGATTAGTCTGAAGACATTTTGAGATTCCTAATTTAGCCATCACAGTCACATGTAAGAAGCCATAAATGAAAAAATATTTTATATGAAAAGCGTTAACTATGTAAAACATGTGTTCTGCAGTCATCCACCACTTGGGTATACGTACTATCTTTCCTCAATTATTCATTAACTTGACCTCCATAAAGGGTAAATGCTAAAGAAGCATGACATGCAGTTGTTGGACGTTAACGTCTGGTCTTCTCAAATTTCTATCAAATCCTAAAGCAAATGAAAAGAATAGTTCAGTATGGAGGATACATTTTGTCTTCACAAAACGCTCCATTTTCAGTTTCCTGTCTGTCTCGACCATGCTCTTTCTCATGCAGCCTCCCTCTCTCTGTTGTTCAATGTCCCTCCGCCTTCATATCATATGTCCTTAAAGATAAAAAAAGTGTTCAAGAGAGAGTGTCATTTCGTTTTTTCTTGCTCTCCTTCCTCTGTTTCTTTCTCTGCATGTGCATTGAAACACAAATTGCCAAGCAAAATAATATATATCTCTATCTATCTACCAGCTTTTCCTTTGGCGGGCATCAGCACCAAAAAAACGGAGTGGATAGAGGGTGGAAGAATGGAATGAGAAGGGCATCCAGCATGAGACAAAGAGTGAAGCTGAAGAGAGAGAGAGAGAGGCGACTTGCTTAAGCCAAAAAATTGTTTTTGGCTCAACATTATAAGCTTATGTTTCCATATACAAACTAAGATAAATAAATAGATATCTTCCGGTGCTATGTACGGTTTCATCGAAAAACGAAATTCTCTCAGGAAACTGATATTCCAAACTGCAATGCAATGGGGCATGCAGGCAGTCAGTCAGTCAGTCAGGCAGTCAGTGTAGACAGGGAGACGTAGGGTGGATGGGGGATTGTCAATTTATATTTATGTTACATAAATTATTATAAATTTATAAAAATAGAAATGTAAATTGATTTTACTCACTCAAAAGCTTTTAAAGCTTTGCATTTCTTATTAAAATCCACAATTTCTGGAATAATCGTATAAGGAAGATTAAGTAAAGCCCATCGAACGTTCTTATTGAAGATAAGCTGACGATTGCGTCATTCGAAACACCTCAGAAGGTCAATGTTGCCTAAATTAATTATTTAATTATAGTAATATCTTAGAAAGTTGTTGAGCAATCGTCACTTGCTTAATCTTTGATGCTTAAAAGGCCTATCGCTTTCATGTTTTCATGTCCCCACAATCAAAGTTGGAACAACTAGCTTAAGGGAAAAGCTTTGAAACTGACATTCAGTCACTTTCTTCATTATCACCAAAATTACATTATGAAAAGCTTTTTTGATACATCATCATCTCAAACATGAGAAGCTTCAAAAAAGGAGAGAGAGAAAGTGCTTTTCCTTTGTCTCTCACATGCTATATTCGCTTTCATAATGATACTTTTAGCCTTTGTCATCTGAAGTCAATTTATGCCTTTAAGCTTCATAGATCAACACACACACACACATACACATACACATAGTCATAAAGCATTTGTCTTCCGAAAATATTTGTTGAAAGATAGAAGTAGTTTATATGGTTTTGCTTGCTCCATTCCATTCTCTGCCTTCATCTGTCGCCGTCTGAATATCAAACGGATCCATGTCTACCACATAACAATTCTGCCAAAAATTAACTTTTTATGAGAAAGATTTGAAAGCGCAATTTGACGAAGAAAGTTTTTTCGTTTTGCATATCGTAAAACTAACTATAAACTATATTAATTGAGCTTTCAATTAAATTAATTTGGGAAGCGAACAAGGGTGGTTTTCTTAAAACTTCCTCCTTCCCTTCATGCAACTACGAAAGAAGAAAGAGAGAGAGAACTCTGACCCTCTCTCTCTCTCTCTCTCTCTCTCTCTCTTTCTGTTGACAAAACCTAATCCAGTAAATGGTCCTGAGAAGGAATGGTGCAATAATACATATTCATTCATAATATACTTTATAATATATGATATTTATAGTTCACCTTCGGAAATGAAAGAACGACGACTAAGATCATCTGTACGAAGAGAGCAGTACTATGGTTCAGTTGAATTAGTGGTTTCCGTTGATCCACGGGGTCGTATTCGTAATATCGGACGCTTTCGGCTTGAGCCATCATCTGATTTTCAACCGGTCAGTGTGTTTCCGCTAATTACGCCTCCACGCAATCTTCACGTGAAGCACGTGAAACGTAAACATGATCATTTTCAATTAAATTTCATTAGAAGCGGTTGTGTTTGCTTCCAGATGTGAAAGATACATTTTTAAATCATTTTTCTTTGTATTCAGGATGCTCCCATGCCTACATCATCTTCCTCCATCGTTGTGGAGAACCCTCAAGAAGAGATGAGATGGTATTGGAAATACTTCCTGGGAAATGGTATGCATAGGGTTGAATACAGTAATGAGAAGACTAATTGAAGAACATCAAAACTTCTCCGGAATCGATCCAACAACGAAATCTCCGTTTTTTCTTTCCATCATGGTGGAAGAAGAAATTGACGATAACAAATTGTGTAGAGCTATACTCTGGACACAGAAGGTTTCCTTCCTTCTTTAGAAGCTTAAACACCAATTCTCTCTCTATAGGGTCCAAGACGTTTGTGTGTGCCTGTATCGCATGGAGGAAAAGCTTTAACGGCAAAGGCCATATTACAGTACTGATGATAACCATGACATGGATTAATTAGTTATTCAGACGTTTTCCTGAGATGAGTGATTACGCGAGACAATTGAAAGAAGTCACCAATCCTAAAATTCAAAAAGAGCTTGTTGTATTGGAAGATCAAGAAGGATCTGTTAACTGTAAAGTTGGAGTCATCTTTGCTCTGGATGATCAGATCTCAGATGCTCAGATGTTCGGCAACGGTGAATAAGTTTTTCTATAATTCAATGAAATCAAAAAAAGAGAAAAGAAGGAAGATGAATGAAACAGAATGATATTCAAGTGAAAACGATTTCATTTTCATTTTCAGAACATGGAAACAATCATTTCGAGAGATTTTTGAAAATTCTGGGTCATCGCATTGAGTTACAGGATTGGGGTAACTATCGAGGTGGCTTGGACACAACAAGTAATCTTATTATATATTCTCATAGGTATGATGATCATCTGATTTATAGCAAACTCGACTGGAAGAGAATCTGTCTATACAGCATTTGCTGGACATGAAATCATGTTCCATGTGTCAACTATGCTCCCTTATAGCCGTGAAAACGATCAGCAGGTCTTTGAAACAGTTAATGTGCAAAGAAAATAAATTGCTCTTTGAAGATTGAAAGGAAGCGTCACGTGGGAAATGATATTGTGAACATCGTTTTCGAATCGACAGATGATCCTCAACATCCCTCCTTCAGTCCAACTATGATGAAAAGTCATTTCACACGTAAGACAAATGCTTATAAGGAATGGTATAATGATAAGCTTGCAGATGTATTTGCTGTTATCACTTATGAAGCTCCAACTCATCTATGGAGACTATGGGTATATAGCGAAGAGAGTGTTCCACCGTTCGGCCCTTCTATACCAAATCCAAATGTATTTTCTGATACGGCTGTTTTCAGAGAATTTTTGCTAACTAAACGTATAGTTAATAGTCATATACTTATACTATACTTCATTATTTTAGTTATAAATGCTGAGAAAGCAGCTTTCAATGCAAAAGTTTTTGTGGAAAAACGACATCGAACTAACGATACTCTACTTAAAGATATGTACATGGAATATATGAAGGATTGTCAGAAAGTATGTTTCTCCGCATGTCAGATGAGTCTAGACGAAACGTCTTTCAGGGAATAAACAAGATGACGGACACAGTCATTAGACATCTACGATCTCCTATCAGAAGAGAAGCTCCAAGAGAAACTGTTGATTTCTGTAAACTAGGAGAACTTATTAAGCTTGAAAAGATGCTGAGTGGAGATGTTTCTGACTCTGTCAAGATGACCAGCATCTGTAGAAAACAGGTGACTTTCATCTAATGACGTTTTGTATTATTAAATGATCCATTTGAAGCCATGGGAGAAGGAGATAATGATTCGAAACATTCCGTCTTATGATATCTTAGCTTCTGATATCTGGAAGGGCGTCGGTCTTCTGATATCATCCGAAGAGCAAGGTGTCGTATTCGTTAGTGAAGATAGAGCGATTCCTTTGTTCGACAAAGATGTCAGGTGAGCATAACTTCCATTTATGGACTACAATTTATAAAAATTGAGTTCAGAATATACCAGATGTCCGTTCTGGATCATTTCGGATTATTCATTGCTCGGATGGATAAAGGTAAAGACATACGCGTTTAGTTTCCGTTTCGCGCCATTTCCCACGTGACGTGGGCGTACACGTCACGAAGCGTGATTTATATTTTAAAAGTTATTTGAATGTATTGGGGGCAGTAAAAGCGGTTGCTCCAATAATAACATCATTTCAAACATACAATTTATAGGAAAAGATTCTTCGTTAATCGTGTTGGCTCTACCAGAGCTTCGAAATGCTCTTCAAACAGGAAATACAATTAAAAGAAAAATATGTCAAATGGCTAAAATACCTGGAACTAAAGGTTTACTCATGCTGACATACTCCTTATATGTTAATGTTAACTTTCAGGATGTCATTTCTTTGCTCCAAGCGATGAATCCAGTTTACGACTCAATATAGTTGCTTGCGTTGGGAAGAAGCTACTTCTCCTTCGATGGACAATCGGACCAATCGTTCGCTATTCAGGAGTATTTTTAATTAATAACTTCACAATGCTAACAGTTAGATATCATCCTTGGCTTGACACATACATCTATTCATCTACTTATAGTCACATCAATTACCTGAAGAACCTGTTAACATTTGTGTTTATGAGAAGGGATCATATCATCGTGTAGTTAAAGTTATCGCTTTAGCAAAAAATCATATTTATATTGTTAATTTAACGTAAGTTCATATATCATACTTCATTCACTTCATCGTTGTGTTTTTAGCGAGGGAACGGAGGATATGATCACTTGTGATCTTCCAAAAACAGAAAAGAGCCATATAAGGACAGCATCAGATGGAGACAGTGATGAGTTCATCTTGTTGCAACAAAGTGAGTACGAATATCACAAATCAATTAACAATTTTATTTTTTTCTAGATCAAACATTACATTACGATCAACAAGATGGAGAATGGGTCCCTGAGAAGACATTCTGGTCAACTAGCTTGAACAACTTCTGTAGGTCTTAGTCGTTTTGCATTGTCTACTATCGTTGTTAAGGTTTCCGATTTCCGTTCATCATTGGCTTTGGTGAAGATTTGATTGAAATTCGGTTAGCAGTCAATGGAAACCTTTTGGCATCAATGTACATGCCGAGTGTTCGGTTATTGTCTGATAAAGTAAATTATAGCAGAAGCCCCTTATAATTAATATAATTAAAAATTCAGAATGATATTGTTTTCTCAGTGGAAAGACCATTCTCGTCTGCTTTACCCACCAATAGAGGATCATTAATTCGCAAAAAGGATTGTGAAAATAAAAGGTTTTTTTTTTAAAATTTCATTAAAGTTCAACAGAATTGTTTAAAACTACTTCAGCAGATGGGATGTATACAGATTCAAACATCAAGAATTAGTCTCAGTTGCCAAAGACCGAGATGGTAGCAGACCTGGGGGACAAACTCCTAATGTGAGACAGTTGACTGAACATGTATCTGTATACTAGCAACATGTGTTTAGATAATCCGAAAAGAACCAGCCGGTCAACTTATTAGTGATAGTGAATCACCGACATATCTCGATTCAAATGATAACACAGGTTTCGGATCGGAGTCCAGGTACGTTGCATACACATAGAGAACTCATCTATTGAACTGCTTTTAGTGTAGAAGCTAACCCCGAATCAGGGTTCATCTCTAGAGATGTTAGTAATAAGTCTTCTGACGAGTTTGAACAAGAAGAATATCATCTTTGACATTGTATTCCTTGTGGTTTTATAATAAGAGAAAAGACCAATCATGTTTAATAAATATTTATTGAAAAGAATGAAACATCAAAAAACAACATGTAAGCCGTAGTCTTTCCTTAGGAAGATATGAATGAATGAGCAAATATTCGAAAAGTTTAAAAAATCACTTGGGAATTGGCAATCAAACGAGACCTCCTCATATTCATTTGCTTAGAGATGAAGATTATAAAATGTGTTCGTTACTGCTTTAAGGTATTGTAACAGAAGTCTTGTGGATGAATATATAGAACTCTATATGGTTTTAAAACTTTCTTTTTTAATTCTTATAACAGTATCCTCCGCTCAAGTAATAACCTGAACAGCAGGAGGGCTCATCAACAGCTCGTTGAATTGGCAAACTCTCCTGTTGAGGAGGAGCATTAGCTTCAGTCCATCCAACATGAATGGACAATAGGTTTGTGGGACATTCGTAGGTGAATTTTCTGAAATCGTTCCATTATGACGATTGTATGATTGGTTTCTCACTTTTCACAAATTCCATGATTGGTTGATATGTTATCTGTTTGTCGTTTTCCTCTAGTCACCTGTTTGTTGTAAGTCTGAGGAGGATAACGCTTGATTATTCGTCCGGGTGAGTTCAATGCCCGACGATGAATGCAATTCACTGAAAAACTTTTGATTTTTAAAAAACATCGTATTCAGCTCTGTTACCATGAGTCCGACGGTACTGTACTGCTCCATGCGCTGTTGTCAAAGGTTTTTTCTGGATGACTGGAACACCAGGATCTCTAGGAAGTGGTAGAAGTGACTTTTCAGCAATAGGAGACAACTGCGTATCATCAGACTGTCCGAATCTTAGCTTTTGCATAAGATCACATGGAAGGACTATTCTACCATTACAAACTCTATTAGATGAGGATGTAGGACAAGCCTGTTGGTTACAACTAACAGATTGTACGCTATATCCGCTGAAAAGTTTCAAAGTTGTTTTCAATTCCATCTTTTTTAAAATCTCACTTGCATAAACCGTTTCCCCCATAACAACCTCGGACTCTTTGGCGTGTACCACATCCACCGCAAGGTCTGTTGCAATTTGACCAAGCTCCCCAAATACCCCATGAGCCTGTAGGAGTTGGAGAGGACGACGTGAACTGAAAGAAACGGCTTAATTTCTCTTAACTGTTATTTTGAATACTTCTGGAACTGCTGTATTAGGTAAGGGAGTTGTTGGTCGGAAAGAGGTTTGGACAATCATCGGAGTACTGGGAGACCTTGTAGTCTCGACAGTTGCACTTCCAACTAAAACATTTTGAAACTGAAATACTAGGGGACTTTCTTACAATATTTGTATTGAATTGTGAATCCTGTGTAACCAGATGTTACTGAAGATGATCCTTTCATTATCAAAACAACTTGATCATCTTCGGAGACCAGAGAAGTAGCAGGTATTCGACAACACAAATGAGCCCCTGAAGACGCTTTGTGCTATAATATCACAGCCACGAAAGAAACCTGTTGATGCCTTAGATCTCAATGTTTTGAATTCTACATAACTGGAACAAGAGTCTGCACAAGGGAAGCTCATGCTTGTGAAAGCAACTTGAATTCTTTGTCCGGCAGGAGACTGTAGTGAAACGATTGTTTCTTTTTGTCTGTATCTGTATAAATTACCTTGATTCTCCAAACACAATTCATATTTGCACTCAAGCTTGGACTTCTGAATGTTTGAAAGCTATCTGAAGCTACGATTTCACCTCCACAAGAAGCTGTAATGATATTATGAAGCTGTTTGACAAGTACATGTTATCTGACTTTCCTCCACACGGTCACATAAAGTGCCTCCATAGCCAGGTGGGCATCGACATTTGTAACAGTTGTTAGGATCAGTGTATCCTTCATTCTGACAGTTCAATGTTGTTGGACACACATCTGAAACCACGATGCTTATTCTTATTCCCATACGCGCGAATTTAGAAAAGTGCATATCACTCTTGGCTCTCATCCAACTCAAGGTCCGACTCAGCCGTGAGGATTTGGAGAGTCGATCTCGGCAAATGATCGAAACTGATCGAAATGCAACTTTTTTTTTCGAATTTTGTGAAACTTGGTGATCTTACTAATTCTGTT